ATAAAAATATTTTAATAAGAATTATTTATATATTAAATAAAAGAGTTTTACTTTTTTTATCACTTGCTTCGAGGCCACACATATTATTATTATTTTTTTACTTTACTTTACTTTACTTTACTCATCTCTAAGTTAACAATTATCAACGGGTATATATTGAAAATATTTTTAAATTTACAACAAGTATAGATGAATCTCGTGTGAGTTAGAATCTCTCGTTGAACGATCACGTTCAGCTGTCTAATGACCGAACGCATTATGCTCAATTATTAAAACAAGAAATCTATTTTAATCGTTTCCATCTGGCCGCGTACGCGTACATTTAATGGAGGATAGGTGGATGGGGGTGGTGGGGGTAAAATGGGGTAGAGAATTTCTGTTATAACCGTTACCGATACGCTTAAAATGTTTTAATTCGTTGCTTATTGTCTTTCACTCACTTTGCAAGACGTTTAAATTAAAATCGTAGTTCCCATAAAGGAGACACGAGATACAAAAGTGTGTGTGCGAGAGAGAGAAAGAGAGAAACATCATTTATTTCCATAGATTTTAACAAGCTCTGGTATGGGAAAGAGATGAAAAAAAATAAAGAAGGTAAAAAAAAATTACCATTATGCAGCAAGAGATAAAAAAAGGATTGAATGATGGAAAGTAAGAAGGAAAAGAAATATTCTATGTGATTGTGAAGATCTTGTTATACAGAGGGTTTCCTTCTTCGTTTGTTGAATGAATTTTCCCCCGAAAGCCATTGTGATTTCATCGTCGTAGGGAAAGAACATCTTCGATTCTTTTCTGAAATATGGAAGACTCTTTGAACATTAACGGAGACGAAAGGGGTAGAAGGGGTAGAGGGAGATGGGAGTAAAGTCTACGGGAGTCTAACGGGAACGCAAAAGTTTTACTTTTCCACTTAGTTCGGTGCACTTCGATGCTAAAAGAGAACCAAAGTTACGATTTATTTATGCTTTTGACATAATTCAGTCGCTTACGTAAAAAGTATATATATATATATATATATATATATATATATATATGTGTGTGTGTGTGTTACTTTTTCAAGAAAAATAAATTAAGTTGTTGATAGAGTACTGAAATAAAGAATAAATGTGAAAAAATTGTACATAAATTTATTTTAGGGTAAATATATTTATCGAACAAATGATAAGAGATATTATATTGACTCTGTTGAAAAAAATCTACTGTAAGATACTAATCGCAATTATGACAAAATTTCGAGGTCCAATTATTTCGACAATTTATTTCATTTTATTTCAATCGAGTATTTAAAGGATTTAATAACGAATCGGGTGTATAACATTTTTGTAACGTTAACAATCATAAATATATTGATATATTATATTTAACAACAGAATAGGAAGATTGATTAAAGAAAATAAATTGAATATTTCACGAGATCAATGTGGGTACGTTTCTTGATAATTTTCTAATCAGATTTAGATTTGAATATAATTTTGTTGAATTATTATAAATGTTAATTGTATGTGTATAAATACATACTAAGCGTAATAATTCCATATAAATATATTATAAGACAATTATTATTATTATGTGGATAAATAAACTGAAAAGTGTTTCTCTGTAAAGAAATTTAGAAATTTGATTAAATGAACATACAGGTTATTTACTTTCACTCTTTCGGTAATCCTAACTACCACGCCACCGCATGCAGAGCGTGACAAATCGGAACTACAGATATTATAATTTCTTTACATATATATATTAGTTTTATTAGGAATAATTAAGATATTAATATATATCTATAGGAAGTAGTATTATTTCTCTTTTTATATCTTTCCTAATTCTTTATTTTATTTGTGTACGTGTGTCTTTTTATGTAATTAT